GTGGTCTCAAACCTAAGAGCTGAATATGCACTGCCACCGTACGTGCGGCCTATCCCTATCCCCTTATAACAAATTCACTTTAGCATCCATTATTTCTCATAGCAAGCATTAGAGTTTCGGGGTTACGTTTGACTTTGTTGTGCCACAGGCGATGTGTTTCATCTGCAGTTAATCACCTTCTGTTTTACTATCCAGATCATCGCCCCCATGAATGTGAACTCTGCGACAGATCGTTTTCTGATAAGTGCAGTTTACAAAGACATGTCAGATCTGTTCATTTGGGTGAGTGTATGGATGATAGTATCATCCGTTGTCATTTCACCGTGATCGGTATAAGAAAGAGTGCATTGCGTTTCTAATGATGATGATGGTACTCACTCCCTGAGGGCGTCTTATTTCGCATAACGTTTTGATTTTTACACCAGTTTCTGTTCTGTGAAACGAATGATCCTGTCGGGTCGTTTGGCTTCCTCTACCGTCTATGTAGTCAGGCTGATAGCGATCCACTTCATTGTGTTTTAGTTGGAATTGTGTACCGCGCTGCATTCACACAGCGTTCACTCCAGCCAGCAAGGTATCCACCGTTGTGCGGGCGTCGTCTCCGTTCTCATGTAATCTTAGCAAGCTATCTCATCGTCTCTAGATGCCGTCTGTGGTTACTCAATAGTTTGGACGGGCACAACGAAATCGAGGATACTTTTATAATATATCTAATCTTTTAATGTAGGTATCTGGCCTAACGAGTAAAATGATATGCCTAGATCTTAATGTTCTGTTTATGCTTTAGATCTTACAGTTCAACTTTTCTTATTTTCCCCCTTTTTCTCTCTCTCCTTTCTCTATTCCTTTTAGTTTCCTTCTCTTCCCTTTTTATTTCATCTTTCTCTTTTCCCCTATCCGCCTCTCTATCACTTATTCCACTTCCATAACCCTCTTCCCTCTCCACCCCCCCATCTTCACATCATTACCACTCCTTCTGCGGTCCCGCTCCGTACATATTCAGTACCTATCATCCCTCCCCTCCTGTCTAGTGATCTATCTTCCTCCGAATACCTACAGCTCTCGCACAACCAACGACCCATCCCTTGCTTTCATATCTGCGTCTACTCTCTCGGATTATACCACCATTGTGTAATCACTACATGCTATCTTCTTGTGTCTCTAGTCATCCACACATTTATCTCCCCTTCTCTCGCCTCACTTCATTCTCCTCTTCCTTTCATCCTGACAAACACTCCTATGATGATATAATTAACTTTTGTGTATATCACACTTGTCTTTGAGTGCACTAATTCAACACTCCCCACCATCCTCATGTTCACTGCTCACTTCCCTAATCACCTCTCTCAAGCGTATAGTGCACTCCTTCTCATAACAAACACACTGCTCTCACAAGTACCATTGTCTTACCAACCTATTCACTCCATTCCATCCCTTATCGCTCATCTTATTCCACTCTCTCTTCTAATATACACTCTGTCGTTCTGACACTCTCACACTCTACCCCTCATCATAATCCATAAGATCTCCACCATGATTTCTCCTTCACCGTCTGACAATCATGACTCCAGCCTATCGACTAGCAGATACTGTACCCCGACACCCACTGTCTCACTAGTACTTATCTCTATCACACTGCACCTACGCCACCTTGTCACCTACTCACTCTCCTCTTCCCCACCCTTACCATCTCTTACTCCACTCTATACTTCCACCTCTATAAACTAGTCTCACCACACTTTCTCTTTCCTCCCCTCTCACTCCACTCCTCACCTCTCCTTTCGTTTATCTACCCTACGACATAAGCGCACCCACTCCCTCCCCACACCGCTTTGCTACCCCTCTAGTATTAAACCAGCATTCTCACTCTTCCTCACGCCCGCAGCTCGTTCTAACTCCTCTTGTGCTCCTCCTCTGCATCACCCCGTTGCACCTGGTCCACTTTCCTCACACTGTACACTCTCATTCTTCTATACCATCTGTACCGCTCATGTCCCCTGTCATCTCGTGTCACCGTCTCCCACAACCCCATCTGCATCAGTCCTTATGATGTCCGTGGTGGTGCGTGCACACACCAGGTCGGCTCTCGTCTCAGCCACTGTGTGCCAGTCTAGCCGGATACACACGCAACTTCTCTTCTCTTTAAGTACTCAATTACTTACTCCGCTCACTCACTCTCCACCTGAGTAGCCAAACACCTCTCCTCCCCTTCACCATTCCACCCGTGCAAACCACTATCCAAGCCCAGAAACACGGTTATCGTCTGCGCTCATGTAAGGCAGAGTGCTACGAGACGCCTCGAGCACCATCTCTTCTCGGCCACGTGATGCGTAGAGTATGTACCTGAACCGTCGCGTCTCTGTCCGCGTATACTATGAAGCGATTCCTCGTTGCTGGCGCGCGAGAGCCGCCGCGCGGTTGGACATCAGTGCTTGTGACGCCCGCACATAGCGAGAGATCCACAACTTGACGCGCTACACAGATGTAGCCACCTCAGAGTACCACCGGTGACATTTTCACATTCCACATGACCATTCCACACGCCGCACAGCAGGGCAACTGAGCCGGGCAGGAGTGCAATCTCACACGAACGAGCATGGCCGTGTGCGCATGGATGTCTTAGAACGACATGCAAACGAGACACTGCTAGCACATAACCAATAGTCATACTGAACTGCTAGGTC